GAATATTTAGAAAGGCACAATAAAATATGTCAATATCTCCATTGGAGTATATGCCGAGAATATGGAATGGATGGATTACCCAAGGAGTGGTACAACCACATTCCAAGCCCGGTTACGACAGTAGGTCCATGCACAGTTCTATATGATCAACAAATCCACACTGATAGAACTGTGCCAGCTAACAAACCGGATATCATACTCAGGCATAATGGGGAAAAATGGTGTAAGTTAATTGAGGTATCCGTGCCGGCAGAAAAAAACACCACAGCCAAAGAAGCAGACAAAAGGCTGAAATACAGAAATTTGGAAATTGAAATAACCAGGATGTGGGGAACAAAAACCGAAACGATTCCGGTCATCGTGGGAGCATTGGGAGCCATGCCACATTCAATAAAAGGAAATTTAAAGAAGATTATGAAGAACCTAAAAGAAGAAACCATCCAGGAAATCGCACTATGTGGGACGGCCCACATTCTTCGGAAAATATTATAAATAGCACCACCGATATTCGAGTATTTGTCCCTAAGGAATCGGGTAGAGACCTGGGATAAATGCTTAAAAACCCCGACAAATAAGAGCCTTGTCGTGTTTAAGAGTGACCATAATAATAATAACAATAATAGAGTTTGTATTTATTTATTTATAATCGATTAAAAAAAAAGAAGAAATTTATTTATGAGTTATGAAAAAATAATTTTTTTTTTCGTTTTGTAATTTTTTTGTTTTTTTTTTTTTACGAACGTGAAAAGGTTCGAATGAATGAGAATTAAATATGGCGGAAGGTGAAGGGGAAGCAGAAGAAAAAGAAAAAAAGATGATTTTAAATTGAGGTTTTGAGATTATAAGTTTTTTTTCTTTTTTTTTTTTTGTATTCTCGTGGGTTTATATTTCTAATTTTTTTTTTCTTTCTCTCTCTCTTTTTTTGACCGTGCGAGTTAGTATTTATTATTATTATTATTATTATTATTATTATTATTTTGCTATGGTTAAGGTTTTACGTTCTTTATTTCTTTTGCTCGTAAAAAACTCAAAATAAAATGAAAAGAAAATTCTTTTGATATTTTAATTTAACATTGGTCATTATTCGATTTCTGATACAAAAAAAATTCTCATCAATAAATTTATTATTTTATTGAGGACGGGAATGACACGTGAGAATTGAGAAAAAAAATTCCCCCCCCTCTCTTTCTCTTTCTCCTCGACCCCTCGTTTCCGTAAGGGGGTTGATTTATTTTTCCCTCATAATTATTATTTTTAAAATTAATTAAATTAAATTTTTTTTGTAATAAATAAATTGTTTTATAAGTCGTAACGACGACTACCACCACCACCAAATCTTTTTCAACTTCCGGTTTAGAGTTTTTTTTTTTTTTATAAGGTTGGACAAAATGTCTTTAGTAGTATATTTAAAAGAAGATTTAATAATAATAATAATAATAAGTTTTTTGCCGGTAAGAATTAAGCTTAACATCTTCTTGAAATCGACATGCGCCATTTTTTTTTTTTTTTTGTTTTTCCTCCATCATTCATCACTTCGGCGGCGTTGTTTTTGTTTTTCTTTTTTTTTTTTTGACGTAAAAAGAGAGAGAGGGAGGGAGAGGGGGAGAGAGAGAAAGAGAAAGAAAGGGAAAACCTTATCAATTAATTCAATATTGATTATAAACCTTTTTTTTTTACGTCACGTTTCTTAATTACTTTTATTGAATTTTTACGTTTTAATTTTTTAATTTTTTTTTTTTTTTTAAATTCTAAAAGGAAACCTTTGAAGAATAATTTTTCTTTTTTTTTTCCTTTTTAAATTAATTTAAAATTTAAAATGATCCCTTTAAAAAAAATGGAAAAAAAACAAATGATTAAAAATTGTATGTTTAATATGTAAATTGATATGTTGGCACCTCTGATTCACGTATAAAAAAAGTAAAAAAAGAAAATATTAAAAAATAAATTTTCCTAATAATAATAATAATAATATGAAATATTTTATTTTTGAAAAGGATGATGGAAAAAACGAATTAAAGGGTGAGAGAAGAGGGGGCAGGCGGGAAGCGGGGGTGGAGAGGGGAGGAGAACGTGAAAAGAGTCGAAACGTTCGAATGGATATAATGAAATTTTATAAAAGTATAAAATTTCATTTTATTGCTTTGCTATTCAATAGAAGAAAATTTTAACTTTTTAAAAAAAAAAACTTTTCAAATCAATGATTTGATCGTAATAGAAGAAGAAAACAAATTTTCTTCTCTCCTGTCGCTCTGTAGAAAATAATTTGAATCAAACATTGAAAAGTTAAACATGTTGTTGTCGTTGTTGTTGTTGTTGCTGTTGTTTGTCTTACGAGTGATACTATTATATACCTTTCTTTGATCGCCGTCGTCGTAAATCACTGTTTCATTTTCTTCTTTTTTATTTATTTATTCTTTCCCTTTTTTTTAGGGGGTAGGTAGGGAAAAAGAAAAAAGTAAAAAAGGGAGATTGAAAACGTAGTAACGAACGGGGGGGTCGGAGGGTAAACGAAATAAAAAACAAAAAAAAATAAACATTTTGTTTTAAAATAAACGAAAACTTTTTCTTTTTTTTTATAAAATTTTATTTTTATGTAATTTTTTTTTTTTACACGTGTAATTAACTTTACGATAAGTTGTCTAAAGTCACGTTCATTTGCCAAAAAAAAAAAAAAAAATTTTTTAAATGTTTTTTAACCTCCCCTCGGAAAAGTACTTGGAAGGAGGAAAAAGAGGATAAAATCCTCAAAAATTATTCAAAATTATTTATTTATTTATTTATTGTAAAATCTTTTTAAATGACTTTTTTCCCTCCCCCTCTCCTTCTCCCTTCCTTTGTTTAGTATTAAAAGGTTTAACCTTCCCCCCCCTTCGCCCCCTTCGTAGAAAAATTTATTTTTTTTAATACTTTCCGAGAATAATTTACGGTGTTGAAAAAAGAAAAAAATTATAATTTTAAATTTTTTTTCATTGTTTCCCCTCCCTCCTTTTTTTTGTTTTTCATTGTTTTCTTTTTCTTCTTCTTTTTATTGACCGATGGAATGAGAAAGAATCGAAGGGACTGATTCGAAAAACTAGTAAAAAAAAAAAAAAAAAAAAAACATCATCAATAAATGTTAAAACAAAAGTTTCTGATATTGTCACATAATAAATAAAGAAAAAAAAAATATACACGCATAGAGAGGAATAAATCGTAGTCGAAACAATGAAAGGAAAAAACAACCGGAAATGTAATGAGTTTTATTTAATTTATTTTTTATTTATTATTGTATTATATCCTCGTTTATTTCCGCTCAAAATTATTAACTTTATTGTTATTATTATTATTAATTTTTGATCGAGGTAAATCGTTATATACGTAAAGGTTTTAACGTATTTAACGCACTTATCGAAAAGGGGAAGGGATGATTATTTAATTGTTATTATTATTATTATCTTTTGTTTATGTTTTTTAATGTTGTTGTTTTTGATTTGTTTAAAAAATGTTTAAAAAAAAAAAATTACAAAAAAAAATTTACAATTTTGAGTAATAAAATAAACTAATGGAAAAAAAAAGGTATGAAGAGGTATCTGTTTGTCTTGTTGTTGTTGTTGCGTTTCAAAATGAATATGTTAAAGGGAACACTTGAAAAATGAAAAATGTTTGTAAAAAAAAATTTTTTTTACCCCCCCTTCCAAAAAAAAATTAACAACGGAAAGCGATACGTAGAATTTTTTTTTTTTTTAATTAAAGAACGACCGAGTAATCAACCAATCAGAATTCGAGTTAAAAAGTTAAAAAATTTTTTTTTTAAATTTAATTTCCGAAAGTAAAAATTACGAAAAACGTTAAACGTTAAAAAAAAATTGGTGAAGGGAAAGGAAGGGGGAGGAGGGGGGCAAGGAAGGAAGGAAAGGAAAAAACATAAAAGAAAAAATAAATTTTATAATTTTTTTTTTTACAAAACCGCGAACAAAAAAAAAAAAAAACAAAAATGGTGGGAAATTTATTTGAAACGTAAATTTTTGAAAAAAAAAAAAAAACTTCAATCTAATATTACTGACATGCTTCCAATTTAAAAGTAAAGCGAACGAACGAACGAACGAACGAGCGAACGTACGAACGAGTGAACGTTAAAAAACTTGAATGATTTGACTTTGACGAAAGATTCCTTTTAATTGGAATTTTATACTCTATCAACTTTTAATTTATTTTTTAACCTTTTCCTTAAAAAGATTTCCAATTTTTTTCCTCCTCCTCCTCCATTTTCCATTCCCTCACCTCTCTCTCTCTCTTTCTTTTCTGTAGTTTTATTTTTTTAAATTAACTCTTGAAAAAAAAAAAATGGTTGACTTTAAATATTTAACGTAATTCATTCGAAAAAAAAGAAATACACATTAATTATTATTATTATTAAAGTTAATTTCGGTTTGAAAATTCTTTTAAAGATTTTCCCAATCGGAAAATTATGAT